ACAGTTGGGTTACATATATATATATATATATATATATATATATATATATATATATATATATATATATATATATACATATATATGTGTGTGTATGCATAAACACACATACATATATACATAGATGCATATATATATATATAAATGTATATATACATACATATATATATATATATATATATATATATATATATATATATATATATAACACATGTATATATATTTACATATTTATATATATATATATATATATATATATATATATATATATATATATATATATATATATATATATATATATGCATATATATATAGATATTTATATAGATATATATATAGATATATATATATATATATATAAATTATATACATAAATACAAACACATGTACATGTGCAAACACACACACACACTGCAGTTCCATCCGTCGACGATCACCTTGCCTGACGGCGAAGTCCGCGACGGAGACTCGGGTGCCGGGCCGCTCCCTGCTCTCGTGCTCCGCCAGCATGAACTCCAGCCAGCCCTTCGTGATCCTCTTGCCTCCCGAGGGCGCCTTCATCTTGACCACGCACGGCTAGTTCTGATGAGGATACTTTCTCTTCTTTCTTTTTCGACTTTTGCGTCGTCTGCAAGAGATTTCAAAGTTGCAGTGGAGGAGAGCGATGCCAAGAAGCGAGAATGTCGAGGTTGCTTCTGTCATCATTCTTGTCATCATCATTACCATTGTTTTAGTATCGTTATTTTTTATGGTTAATGTTTAATGGCTAAAAGCAAAATAAATGTGCCAGACATGTAAGATAACGTAGCACTATAGGAAGGTGTGGTATTAGAAAGGGTAGAGAGGGAAGGGAAGCTAATGATTGGTTGCTATACGTCAACAGTCGTAGCGTGGTATGGGAAAGGTGGAAGATGGGTAAAGGAGAGGATGGATGAATGGGTTAAGATAGGACTAAGCAAGGGGGGGGGGGGATCAGATCAAGTGAATGGTATGTATGCGTCTCAGGAAGGTGAACAGGGAGTGTGGGATTCCCTAATGATGTCTTACAGGTTGGGAGGTCGGTGAAGGTGAGGATAGGTGAGGGAGAGCAGAGGTACGGGCTGCAATAATGCGTGGAGAGGACAGCGTAATGTGTAGAACTGAAGGAGGGACAGTACACAGGGAACATAGGGGCGGGCAAAGAATGTGGCTAATATGGAGTCACGGCGTGCAAGTGATTTATGTTTCGAAACGAGCAAGGGGGTCAGCTGTACTTCGGGCCCGGTGAAATCCAAACTGGGAAGGAGAGAGAAGATTGTGAGATTCAAGATACCACATTAAGCAGAAGTTAACCATTCGTTCTAGTAGTTTTAGTGGAAGAGAATGTGAATAGAGGTGAAAGACACTCCTTACCTGACTTAAATAGTCATCAGTTCATTAGTGACTGGCAAAGGATCAGAGATGAGAGTATCTTGAATATGAAGGCTGGATGCGGGGATGTTTGGCCGACAGTTTTTGGTTCCAACGCCACACTGCTGAAATAGTTGTAGATGTAATTGAGGAAACAATTTTGCCAGTTAGTTGTTTTGTTGTTCCGGATTATACGACAAAGACAGGCGGCGTGAAAACGATTGCGCTCACATGTCAAAGTGTGTGGGGCGATCTGAATTAAGAATTATAAGGTCAGTTGTAAAGAGGAAGCGTTCTAGGGATCGGTCACAGGAGGTAGTGGTGGAATCATTGCAAAGAGTGTGGTGGCAGTGAAAATCACCAGCTTAGAGGAAAGGTGGTTGGACTTGGGGTGAAAAAAACTTCAAAGGCAACAAAGTCAATAGGGTGGGAAGGGGAGAAGTAAACTTAAATAATTGTAATCCAGCGACTAAGAAAGATGCGAATAACTGTGCAAGGGACAGAGATCTGAAAGGGAGGCATAAAATAAGGTATTTTCTGATGGATAAGTATAGACGAGACATAAAGGGAGTGTGAGGAAAGCAAAATGGGAATTGGTATAGGAGTATGTGTAAGAAAAGTCTCTTGGAGGCAGATAATGGAGGTGTTACAAGAAGAAACGAAGGTCAGGTCTGTGAAACCACAAATATTCCAATGTAGAAGAGCTACTATGGGTTAATTAACGAGTGATAACCGTAACAATGCGTGTCGGAGGAGAAGGGGTTAGGAGTGGGATAAGGGATGAAAGGGAGGAGGTGGTGAAGTATCAGGAGGGATGTCAGGAGATGGAGGATCCGAGGAATGGCATTGTTGTGATATTGGTGTGTTGGAAATGGTTAATGGTTAATGGTTAAAAGCAAAATAAATGTGCTAGACATCTAAGGTCATGTAGCACTATAGTAAATGTTAGTAGAGGGTGGTTAAGTTAGTGATTAGTTGTCAAAGCTGGGTAAAGGAATTGGTGAGTGAATGGGTTAAGGTCGGGTGAGGTAAGGGAGGATAGGTGGGGGGAAGCAGAGCTACAGGCTGCTTCAAAACGTGTGCATGATGATAGAATGTGTGAGACTGAAAGAGGAAAGGAGCATAGGTGTGGATCGGATTATGACATCAGATAGGGGTGTGGAAGGGGATGCTTGTGATATAAGGGATTCACGTGTGTATCCAGGAGGGAGCAGAAGGGATAGAGGGGATGGTGGGAGGGTTAATGTGGGTGTGGTTGGAGTTGGGGGGGATGGGCTGTGTTGGGAGGGGGTAGGAGGATAGGGTGTAGGGGGGATATCGTTAGGAGGAGGATGGATATCGGCAGTCACTTGGTGTGTGGAGGGAGCAGGAGTTGTAGGATTTGAAGTTCTCATTAAGAAGTCTTGAATATTTTCAAGCGTTTCTTCAATGGAGTTGGTTGGGGAGTTTTGTGGGATAAAGGATTTCTTGTGAGGGGGGGAAGAGAAGACTGGTGTCTCAAGAGTAGGGGCAAAGGAAGGTGGAGGTGATTGTGTGGTAGGGGAAAAGGGGGTGGAACGTTTGTTTTGTCTGTTGCGGGTAGTGCGGGGAGGGAGAGGGGAAGGTGTTGGGGTTGTAGTGGAGATTGGAGTGTCTGTAGTAGAGATTGGAGTGTCTGGATTTAGGATGACAAAAGAGTTTGACTGGGGAAGGTAGGAGGTAGAAGAGGGGGAGTTAGATGGAGGGGGGGGTGTAGGTTTAGGAGAGGATGTAGGAGCTTGGGAGGTAGGGGAAGTGGTAGAATGAGCAATGTTACTGGAGTAGGGATTAAGAGAAAAACCTCGTCGATGTGCTTCCTGTCTGGCTTCACGTAGTGTGAGTCCAACTTTGAATCTGAGAGTTACTACCTCAGACTCAAATTTGTAGGTGGGGCAGCCCCTATAAAATACATTATGAGGGCCACCACAGTTGGCACATGTGCGTGATTGTGCAGAACAGTTTGATCGAGTATGGCCAGGTTGGGCACATAGTGGGCATCTGGCTGTAGAACGGCAATGTTTGGCTGGGTGTTCTAAACACCAACAATTTTGGCACTGTCGAGGAGGAGGTTGGTATGGTCGGACAGAGAGGGATTCTCCACCTATGTAAACATTAAATGGGAGGTCATGTCTACGGAAAGTAATTTTGGCGATGTTAGTGGGTTTCTTACGATGACCGCTGGAAGGAATAGAGTAGCATTGTACCGATGTCGCATCATAGTCTGTGAGACAGGCGAGTAAGTCCTCTCCACAATCTGACCAATCTTTGTCATAGATTGGGCAGTTTGCTGGGGAGATAGAAACAGTACCGGTGCAAATATTGAGAGTTGGATGGGATTCTGCAAGGATAGGGTTACCATATAGATCACTTAGTTTTGCTAATGCTATAACTTGGATTTCAGATGTTACTGTGACGAGACGGGAGCGGTCGGGTCGGCTACGGAAAGAGACTTTGCCTTCTTGTTTTTGGAGACATTCCTGGAAGAGAAAGGTGTTGTCAGAGGAGGGAGGGATCACGAAAAATCGGTCCCATTTGGCTGGGCTAAATAGAGTATTTAGGATTGTTGTAGAGATACGGGAAGTAGAAGAGCGGGGGTGTGTCGAAGAGGGGGTAGTGTTGAGGGAGGTAGTGTTATGGAGAGGTGAGCAATAAGGCTGTAAGGTATTAATAAGGGAGGATGGGGTAGTTGATGTAGAAGGTTGTGGAGGTAGAGGTGTTGAGCATGATAGGAGAGTAGGAATGTCTCTAGGGGGTTGAGTGTTGACTACTGTACTAGTAGGCATTGAGTAGGGGGTAGTTGTTGCAGTGTTCGGAGCCGTGGTCAAAGGAGAGCCTGGGGTCAGGGAATCGGGAGGATTTGAATTGTTGGGGCTATTTGATGAAGGGACAAGCCTCATTGCCCCTAATAGTGGGGTTACGTTTTCATTATTGGCCATGGTAAGCCAGGAATATGTTGGGGAGAGAAACAGTCCACCCCTCAGGGTCCCCTTGAGGGGTAAGGGCTAGGCCTAAGCAAGGGAATACCGTGCCCATGGCTCCCTCAGGCCGTTCAGGACTGGCACAAAGTCAGCCTTTCATCCTTTCAGCACGGCTCTCACACCTTAGGAGGTGGATAGCAGAAGGAATTGGTGAAGGGACAGAAACGGAAAAGTAGGAAGGGAAAAAAGACCATGCAAAATTAGTTGAGTCGAGGGCTGAGTCCCAAGGTTTGGGAGTTCCCCACCATTGGGTCCCAGTCTCCGCCTCCTAAGCCCCCCCACGACAACAACGGGCAAGGGATTGGGGGGGGGGGGGTGGAAAGGAGTAGGAGGAAGGTGTATATGAGGTATATGAGTAGGAGGATGGATAACGGCAGTCACTTTGAGTGTGGAGGGAGTGGGAGTGGTGAGATTGGAGGGATGAGGGGTTTCAGGGAGAGGAATAGAGAAAGTTGCCATTTTAGACTTAAACTTGTAGGTAGGGCAGCTCTTATAAAGTACATTATGGGAGCTACTACAATTGGCACATGTGCGTGATTGTGCAGAGCAGTTTGATCGATTATGACCAGGTTGGACACATAGAGATCATTGAGCTATGGAACGGCAGTGTTTGGCAGG